CTGTGTGTATGACTCATCATCGGGCAAATCGCCCGATGATGCTGGATGTAAATACCAGCGAAACGTCACGGAACTCAAATTGTAAATGTCGTGGATTTACTCTCCAACACACCGGTGGGCTGAAGCACTAACTAATTGGCGTTTTGTTTACGTGACAAATCCCTTACTGATTGGCCGTGTCGGGTGGTGGAGGGTTACGACACATTTATACTTACGCGATCTAACCCAAAAACCTTTATTGTGAATAACATTGGTCGCGAAAGCCTACGTGTTCAACGGAATCATCATCATTGCCCACAGCAAGGCCGATGTCTGCGACGCAATACCGTTTGGTTCCATATACAGTAGTGTCTAAATACAGCCACATCATGACTCTGTAAAATAGGTTGGACACACATCATAGCGGGGGGAGCAATGAAGGAAATGTGGACACATGAGTGATCTGCAAGATACTTACACATGCGGCACACCATCGTCCAGTCCGTACAGGCATTGCGATTGGCCGTTACCACTTGTTACGGTACACATCGCCTCCAGTCTATCAGAAAGGTGGACTAATATACGCAGGTGGAAATGTAAACCCCGGAATACGAGTGCTTCCTATCCAAGAGGCAGCGCCTCGCGGTGACTGGAGGAACGCAAGGGCAGGTGTTAGGAGGTCATCACGGTCAACACCGTTCACTGTGACCGTAGTCATGCCAACCTGAAGATTTGTGGCAGCATTATTTTAAAAATTTTACTCATCCTATGATACCTCGACAAAGCATGAAAGGTGCCTCCCTTCCTCATGCACCTGGACTTCCTCTCCAATTGCTTTCTTCCTTCTGCCACAAACACGCAACGACGTCACCGTCAACTCCTGACCTCTACGGCTTTGTTGCTATTCGAGTATCTCACCTCGCAATTAGTAAATCGTAATTTATTTACCTAAAAAGAAAATAGTCACCGAACCTCGGATTCTCCCAGGTGGGACCCGCGTTGGGTTCGTTTGGACACCGCCGTTATTGTTGCGTCGTGTTCGGGCGCGAATGGAATGTTGCACGAAGTTATGAGCATCCTCCATTCCTATATTAGGCAAGTGGTCGTTTAGTTATTGTGTTATAGAATCAGTCTCATGCGGAGAGACCACAGAGAGAGAAAGAGGAAAAACCCAAGAATTGGGCTCTCTCCAAGACCTTGATTCATTCGCGGCAGAGGTCACCACAAATCTGCGAGCTTCCTCTGCTTAACAAAGAGGCCCCCATCAACCCGTCACGAGGCCCCTTCAGTGGCTCGACGCGCCGCGGGGCATGCGGGCGTGCACCTTACCTTGTTGTGATACAACTCGTTCTCCAGTTCACGTTACGAGACGGCAGCAGCAATGGCAGCAGCAGCAGCAGCAGCGCCAGTCGCGCTCCCTTGCGCATTGCCGAGCGCCGTGACTCAACCTTCCAACGTGTTGTGTCTGACAGCGGCGATTTAAAAGGAAAGAAACAAAAAAAGGCGATAGTTTAGGGTGCCCTAATTTATCCTCCCCCCCACCCCCCCCGCACAAAAACCACGCTGGGTAATACTACAGACGCAGAGAGTGCGCACGCAATCGCCACCGCGGTTTGTCCTGACCGCAGATGCGCTGCTTGATAAGCGCCGACCACGAAACAATCCGTGGTGTCCCGAGCGCGGTGTAGACATCATCATCATCATCTCTATCTTTCGATGCTTCGACACGCGTGTCGGTTCTTTTAATTCGCGCTAAAGCGACGTGCGTGAATTCGTACCAACGCATTTACGTGGCGGATTTTTTAAAAAATAAACACATCTATTTTTAGTAGCATCTTAAAAAAATGGAATGTTATGCATTTTTGTGGACTCTTACAGAAGTTAGAAACAAAAACATTGCTATCACGGATCAAATGCCTTTTAAGCGCTTGTTTAAAAACAATACGACCTGCTTGCAAATACAGCAGCTTACAAGAGCGGTCACCAGAATGCACGGTATGATGATTATCTAAGCTTACATAATATTTAATCGGCTGCTGTACCGGCGCGAAAACATTGTGGAGGGGATACGGCCAGCGCAGTTTGAGCCTCCAGCCCAAAGACCTCGACACGGGTTACCAGTGGCATGTTCGGGATCCATCCTCGAGTCCGAGCCAGTTTTGCAAACTTAAAAGTGTTGTTTCAAACAGCTGACCGTGTGATCAATGCGATGGGACTGGACTCATAAGAGTGCACGAGAACGAGTGTTCAGACTTGCATTGAACCAAACATCTCAATGTAACACGGAGGTGGTCGCGACCAACCCAAAAAAACCTGCATTATGGGAAAACATCTCAAATAACATCATTTTCGTTCGTCCTCTGCTCTATGACAGGTCCTCCATCATCTCAAATATTGAGCTTCTTCATTTCACTATACACTCCACCCCTCTCGTTTCTTCCAATTAGACTTTCCTCTTGCTGAACTCGCTCCACAACTTCACAATGCATCCTCTCTCAATCCAACTTATTTTCCCCACCTTAAGCCATAGCCACAGCCATTTAGACGTCCCAGTCTTCATGCGCTGCTTATATACTCGCAGCATTAGGTAACATGTTTAATGGTTAGCTCAACTACAGCTGCATGCAACTTGCCTTGTGCACAAGGCTCAAGAACAAACGTCGCACACACGCGCTTCTGGGAGTGTGGTGCAACGTCTGCTGGAGACGCAGGTTTAGAGACGCTGCTGTTGCTGCAAGAGAGAGTCGTTATTTATGTGGACATTCCTCAAATATTTTCACGCGGCCATAGCTGCAGGCCCCCGGTCTCTCAACCGTGATACGGCCAATGAAGGAGACACGCGAGATTTTTTTACAGTCAAAATACGCGCGCGCGCGCACATGTGAATCAGCCAAACCTACACCTGACTCACCTTTAACTGACTCACTCGTTGTGTCGTCTCCCCCACCTCGGCGAGTTCGCGTGCTTCGGTCTCACGGAAGATATCGCTCCCAGGTGACGAACTCGTGGAAATTGTTATGTTGGTTAAGAACGTCTAGAGCAGGGTTCCATCAATCACCCGGCATTCGTGCTGGGTAGAACGAAAATGACAAGTGGCTTGGTTTTGATTTAAAGCTTTCGTGACTGCAGGGATTCATATTCTTGGTTCTTTCGGTAAAGTCATGTAGAAGGGAAATAATAAATGAATACATCCACACCTGCTGATGATTGCTTGTGTTGCAATCGAAACGTCGTATGTTATTATTTAATTTATTATTTTATCTTTAGACGTGACTTTACCGAAAGAACCATAGAGTAATTCCTGCAGTCACGAAAGCTCCAAATTCAAGATTGACAGGGCGAACCTTTTAATGCCCTGTTAGAAAATGTTAATGCCATGAATATTGTTTACATCTATATATGTATATCATTCAAATTAGCCCTCGCATTTTATTTCCCAGAGCTGGAATAAGCCAGATGAATTGAAAAACATTTACGGATCTTGGTGCAGCAACTCGGCTGAAACCATTAGATTTATGTATTTACGTGGTATATAATATCATTAACTAGATGAGTACATTGTTTAGTATACCATATGTCTGTAAACTACAATAGAAAACACTTAATACAATTGTTTACGCACGAAAGCCTCGCGGAGTCTCAGGTATTCTTTTTCAGGAGATTCCTGCCAAGTTTTAGCAGCAGGGTGCCATGCTGCCGTGCCTAATCCCAGTCGAGTAGATTTGCAGGCGATTCTTTATAATAGGACATTGGGGATATAGACCAACACCAGTTACTCCACTTTGTTCCGCTATGGGGAAAACCCGGAGGCTTCGGGGAAAGCACACGCAGAACAGGGGGAGGGGGGCGGGGAGAACGTACACTGTACATACTTCACACAAAAAGCCACTCGAGTCAGGAATGGAACCCAGACGCTTTTGTGTGGCAAGTGTGGCAAGTGTGGTCACTGCGCCAAGACGCTGCCCCATCAAGAAATATACTACGACCTTCATGGCGGGATATTACGTACTGCAATACCGGTGGTTGTCCTGCACATATCGGCCCCTTTTTCCAACCGCTTTTAAAACAACTGGGTCACAGCGTCGTTCAACATACATCTGCGGTTGCCACCCGTCCTGGTTTTCCAAGGACATCCTCTATTTGTGGAAGAAGTCCTTGGAAATCCGCAAACCCTCCCGGTATTACAAAAAAAGTGTAAATAATACGCTACTTACGGCAATGCATTTACCTTTATATTCCTCTCCTATTTTGATATCTTGGGATATTTTCTTATCGTCCACTGCAGTAATACCCCCATTTATGTCGTTTCGCAAATACGTCGGTCACGTCATTGATACCACGACCTGGATTTGCGTCGCCTCAACCCCACACTTACGTCGCCGGCAGCGTCGTCCGTCCCTGCTCGTATCCGTCGCCTCTCAACCTTCGCCTCCGCCTACCCCGTCAATTGCTTCGATTTGCGTCGTGTCGATGTTCGTCGTTGCAACTTTCGGGAACGCATCCCCCGACGCAAACCGGGCTATTACGGAATAATGTCTCGTTTTTTTTTACATCTCAAACGTGGCAACCCTGTCCCCCCCCCCCCCACTATGTCCCCCCCCCCACTCTGCCCCCCCCCCCACTCTGTCCCCCCCGCTCCCACTCGGTCTCCCCCCGCCCCCACTCTACCCCAACCCCAACCCCACTCTACCCCCCCCCCACTCTGTCCCTCCCCCGCCCCCACTCGCCCCCCCCTGCCCCCACTCGGTTCCCCCCCCCGCTCCCACTCGGCCCCCCCCCGCCCCCACTCTGCCCCGCCCCCACTCGGTCCCCCCCCACCCCCACTCTGCCCCTGCCCCCCGCCCCCACTCTGCCCCTGCCCCCCGCCCCCACTCTGCCCCGCCCCCACTCGATCCCCCCGCCCCCACTCGGTCTCCCCTCCCTCGCCCCCACCCTGCCCCCCCCCGCCCCCACTCACCCCCCCCCGCTCCCACTCTGCCCCCCGCCGCCCCCACTCTGCCCTTGCCCCCCCGCCCCCACAGTATGGCGCCCCCCATTGCTCGTGTACGCGCTGGGGGGCTCCGTGTACGCGGTGAACGCCGACGGCACGGGGCAGCGCAGCCTGGCAGCCCCCGCGTGCCCCAGCCTGCTGCTCGCCTCGCACCCGGCCGGGGAGCGACTCTACTGGGCCTGTGCCGGCTCGCACGCCGTACAGGCGGTGCGCGTGGATGGGACGCAACATCAGGTCCATCAACAGTAGCAGGTTGCTGCTGCTACTGCTACTGCAGCGGCAGCAGCAGCGTCACCAACAACGACACAATCATTGTGATGATGGTCATCGGGAGTATCGTCAGCAAGCAGAAGGATAGATCATGACCACTATTGCTATTATCGCCATAATTATTCATCATCATTTTCTTGGTTCTTTCGGTAAAGTCACGTAGAAGGGAATTAATAAAATAATAAAAATAAAACATAATAAAATACAATACAGTGTCTTTCCGACAGACCTGTGCTTCACCTGAGGACGGCTGCTTGCGTTGTGGCCGAAACGTCGTGAGAATTTTATTATGTTTTATTTTTATTATTTTATTATTTCCCTTCTACGTGACTTTACCGAAAGAACCAAGAAGATGAATCCCTGCAGTCACGAAAGCTTTAAATCGAAATTCATCATCATTGTTCGGTACACTGTGCAGTGTTGAGTAGCGTTTCCATCGTCATCAATCATCACCACGATTGTTTGATAAATTACTCCATATAGTTTTGAGATATTGTTTATACATTATTGCCACCACCAAAATCAGACATGATCATCATCATGTTTTAGACACTTTATCGCTTTGGAGATTGTACACATCATAGTCGCTTATTATCAACATCATTTTATCCACAAACGTTTCCTCATTCAAGACACAGCACACTGTATACGTGTAATCATATGAGATCCGAGCTCTTGTTAACAACCTGATGATGCTGGATGTAATCTCCGGGGAAACGTCGGATGCAAATGTATCAAAATGTTCCTTGCCCTTTAAAAACACATTCTAGTTTTGCTAATTAGCAAAATCAATTAGCAAATTGCCCACCGGACAAATTGATTTTACTGGCTTTGGTCGGGTGCTGGAGGGTTACTGTTACAAACTCTGACATTATACCTTTGCGCGATCAAAACACAAATGCAATTCTGAAATCATCAGTAGCACAATACAAAAAAATGGGGGTGGAAATACCAAAACAATTATTTGCCATTTGCAAATAAATCCAGATGGGGCACAGGCACCAGGCTGATCTTTCAGCACCATGGACAGATCCTTGCTCCGATCCTGCCCACCCATTGTTACACTTGAGGAAAGCTTTTCGTCGGAGCCACTTATGAAGGAAATTACGATGAGTCCCATGCAGTGACAGCAACAAAGCCGCAGCAATCGCATTGAATGAGAGTCCCTTCGGGAATAGCAGTAACCAGAAGACGTGTGACCTCTATAACTTGAGAAGCAATGGGCTGATATCGATCATTTTAAATTAGCACATGCAGACAAATCCTTTGACTCCCTACACATAATCGCATTGAGTTTAGGCAAAAATCTATTGGAAACTGCTTTAGGTGCTGTTCAACCCTGCCTTCCATTACAGTGCAAGTGAATATAGAACCTCCAAATCAATGTGGGCAGTGTCACATGAAGAAACTGATTTTGAAATGCAACGGGAAGCACACCACTCTTGATTAATTAAAATATGTTAGTCATTCCACTTAATCATTTGATAACCAAAATACAGAAGCAATACATCAAATATCCACAAATAGAATCCCTTGACAAAATTCTAAATGTGTCTTTTGAGTGTCAACTTTCCCTGGAGAGTGAGCAAAACCATTTAATGGACATCTCGGACCACTCCCATCTGCGAGTTGCAAAGCCATAACACATATTGAACAGACACCAGACAGAGTTCACCACAACGGACGTTTGGACAAAGGTGAAGAGAGGGAGAGAGGGTGGGGTGGGGGGGATAGCAAACCATTGATCATTTATCCATTGCAGCAAATCCATGACAACTGCAGACATCTGGCAGCGAGGCAACGCCACCAAACATTTCACACCGACGCTAGTTATTGTACCGCCTTACTTGGCGTTTATAAAAAAAAAATTGGGACACTAGCTTGTCATTACTGTACTAACCACGTGAATATATTTGTGCTTTCGTCCCAATAGAATGTTGTGCTGGTGAACGGAGCCATTGCTGGGCTGGCTCTTGACTGGGTCACGAATAAAATCCTCTGGAGCGACAGAGACAAGGGGACAATTGAAGAACATGACCTGGGCAGTGGCGTCAGGAGGAGGCTCGTGGAGAAAGCCACTCTACCCACCATCCTGGCACTCGACCCCATAAACAAGTACAAAACAACGTTCTATTGTGAGAAGTATCGTATTGGACACACAGATGGAAAACTGCATTGCTGTTGAAAAGATAGGGGAGTTTTCGTGCGGAACAAACTTCGTTTTCTCCTCCCATCAGGCACAACATTTACCCGAGTCAATTTGTCTTTGCACAGGGGTGAGTAAATAGTCCCGTGATGTCCTCTTCCAGGGACATTGACTGACACAAGGTGGTACACTGCTAGCTGCAGAGTTTGAAAAGTTACGTCCATAGACATCCGAGCGCACATTTAATGCCCCCCGACAGGATCGTCGTACGTGAAACAAAACAAAAAAATCACAAATGAAATGTAGCAAATTACGTGAAAAAGAAAAAAAATCATGGATTGTTTTTTTTTGTAAGCCATCATTTGTGACCAGCTTGAGACGATCAACCTCGCTACACTTGAGAAACCTGGTTTAAAAAAAAGACAAAATCACGTTTGGGCGGCCAGATCTGAAGCCAGCGTTCTCAGCTTCCCCGGCTCGGTCCTCAGAACCCCTCCACCCCTCCGACCTCCGAGCCACCCAATCGCCCAACTGCCACCGTGACCCAGAGGTCGCAAACGGGTTTTGATTCCTTACCCGTACCCGTACCCGGCCGGGTATGGGTAGCCGGATATCGGGTAGGGTACGGGTATCGGGTACCCGGTTGCGACCTCTGCAGCGCTTTCTCTGATCGTGCCGTCAGCGAACACCTATCACCCTGTACTACGTTCCAACGTCTACGCTCAATGCCTTTACAAAACCACACTAACATCTGCGGGGAAGTATGGTCAAATAGCCTCCATGACCCGCACGGCATGGGGAGGCCCTCATCCAACAGTGGATTGACACAAGGGCCGTGCGTGTGTACATTATGCGCATCGGGCCTTAGGCCTTACACGACCTCTGCCGTGACCCCCCCCCCCCCACCTCGTGACACGCGCGCCTGTGTGCTCCCCCCGCCAGGCGCTTGTTCTGGGTGTCGGACAGCGCCGCCGCCCCCGGGATTTGGCGAAGCAGCCTGGAGGGCTCGTCGCCGTCGCGGGTCCAGCGTCTCGCCACGAGGGCCACGGCCCTCGCCGTCGACCCAGGCCCTCGGCGCTTCTTCTGGGCCGAGGCCACGGGGGGGCCGCGAGCGCACGGCTTCATCCGCTCGGCGCAGTACGACGGCAGGAACGGGAAATCCTTCAGGCTGCCCACGGGGTATGAAGCACCTCTCCCATCCCTACCCCCATCCCCCCCCCCCCTCTTTCGCAACACCCGAACCCATCAGCAAGCCCCATTCCCTCTGCTGACCCACGGAACTTAATGTTAATTTGGAAATGTACAGCGTGGTCCAGATGTCTTGTGACCCCCCCCCCCCTCACAGACAAAGTTTATTCAAACTGAAATCAATTTACAAAGGAAAAATATGTGAGTGGTTAAATCAATGGGGGGGGAATCACAAGACATCTAGACCACCCTGTACTGCCCTCTATTTATCCAATAAAACGCTCGCCGAGATCCAAGACTCGGGTCTCAGGAGGGTCCCGAATGTGAGAAGACAAAATTCGATGCCGATAAACTCGCGGCTCTCTGCATGAGGTCGCGTCAATTGCACGGCACCCGCTCGTAGACTCCGCGAAATCGAACCCATTGCTGCAGTGCCATCTGCTGGCCACCGCCCGGCACGCGAGCAGCGATGGGGCTCAGATGGGGCACCCTCGACTTGCGAATTAAATTCTCGCGAGAATAGCCCGATTCACTTTCTCCCCCACCCACAAATGAACTCTAACCCTTGTCGGACTCGCGAGGGTTAGGTTCAGCTTATAGCCTCGAAGACCCGGCTCTTGTCAAAAAAACCGCCTGTTGCCGCCGGAACGCTCCTGGGATCACGTTGCGCTCCTCTGCACTTGAACACGTCACCGATCAGCGGTTCATCTGTTTTGACTCGGCTCCTTTTGAGATACGTGACAGCCCCCCCCTCCCTCTCCCACCACCACCACTGCTGCTGCCTGGCAATTGGCTCATCGTCCTCACGATTCGGGGTGGGTCACGTGTATCCCACCCGTGGGCTTTAATTAGCCCTCTCCCCTCCCCCCATGGCTTTTCATCAGCACCGATCGACACCTCTGACAAAAATGCGGCTGCTGTAATTGCGTGAGCGGCAGGCAGACCTGTCTGGACCAGTTCTACCATCATTGGTTAAACACGGAGACACGGGTTTGGCCTGTATCGAGGGCGTGTTCAGTGACACCGTGACAGGGAGCCAAGACACGGGGGCATAGTACAGTCCAATAATGGCTTTTTTTGCTGCAATGCCTTCCGCAGCCCCGCAGGAGCCTATATCACCTGTTAGTGAGCATGGTGATCGCCCGTTCCAACGCTATCCAGGCTCAAGGCTGCTTAGCTTCCGACAACTGACAGGTCAATTGCGTATTTGCGAAACCTGTGCCAGCGTGAGCCTCGGTGTGGGACTGACATCCACACAATTGCTCCAATTAACCTCGATAGCTGTCCTCGGTTTGCTTTGGAGAGTGAGCCCAATTCAAGATCACCACGTGTCGTCTCAGCTGTCCAAAAATAGAATGGCATACTGTGCAATAGATGCCTCCATCTCACCGAGTGTTAATTATATATTAATATTGTAATTTAAAACTGAATGGCTTCGGTGAGTCCCTGTGTTCGTGTGTTCGATGCTTCGTGCATTGCACTGTGTGTCGTGCGTGAATGTCGTGTGTATGTCACGTGCACGTGTGTGTGTGTCATATATATGGGAACGGCAGTGTGGTTAGTGCAGAGTGCGACAAAACCTCGCGATCCAAGTTCGATTCTTGGCTCACTGACAACCTCACCAGCGAATATCTAAACCGAGTCTGGGCCTCCTCTAGGTCGACTCAGCCATAAATAAGTAGCTGCCGTGGTGTGTAAACATCAGCACTGGGAAGACAAATGCCGTGATGTCGACCTTCATAGGTGCTCGCAAACAAAACTTGCCCGCAGCAGTCTGTGAAGTTTTATATGGCGGGATCCTTGTCTTCATCATCATCGTGTGTGTGTGTCGTGTGTGTTCCTGGCATTCGTCTGTGCATCGTGTGCGATGCGTCCGATGTCACACGCGTGAGTTACGTAATGTTCCATGCCCGTGCGTTCGGCGTGTTGCTGCTGATGTCTGCATCGTGTGTGCTGTGCCGCGTCTTGTGTTACCCGCTAGCTCCCAGCCGGCGGGGTTGGCCGTGTGGGCCCGGGACATCTACTTCGCGGACGGGGCCACGTCCACCATCGTCCGCCTGGACAGGAGGACTGGCGGACACACAGTGTCCGTGGTGCCCGGCCCGCCCTCCCTCCGCCTCGGGGCCATCAGCCTCGTGCCGCAGGACCCGCGCTCCCAGGCGACAGACCCAGGTGCGGCCGGAGATGATGTTAACTCCCTCGCCCGGGGGTGTGCAGGAGGTTTCGTGGGGTTAGATCCCCGACCTTGACGCCTGCTGTAAATATTGGAGTTTGAGTGTGGATTTTTCTCCGGGTCCTCCGGTTTTTCCCTCCACATTTAAAATGAACGTCACACGTTTAAGAGTATTTGGCTGCTATAAATTTGCACGCGATAAGCCACTTCGTTGAGCTTATCATTTGTGGCCAGGTCGCTCCAAAAAAGGAGCTATATAGAACAGTGGGCCTTACCTGGTAAAATAAAATAGAAACATACTTTATAGTATGTACGGTGTGAAACAAGTTAAATTTACGTAGACAGAGTGTTAGTTTCACGAACCAAATACTGATTTATGACGATGATGATGAAGCGTTTGTGCTTCAAATATTTCCATAAACCTCTGCGAGTTAACAGCTAAAAATGAGAATTACACTTATCGGTTGATGTTTTTTCATTAACATCATTTTAGAACTGCAGCCGTTCCTCTTGTTCTCCAACGGCGTGCGAATGATGAGGATCAACTTTGACGGCTCGGGGTTCCGGAGCATCAGGGAGGGCCTGAGCGTGGGGCAGGTGGCGGCTCTGGACTACGATCCCGTTGAGCGCAAGGTACCGGGCGTGCGCGGCCAAGACCCTTCAGTGCCTCGGGATGGGGATCTTTGCCGTCCTGGCTGCCCCCTTCTATCCCCCCTAGTGGGGGGCACGACAAGCTCGCCGTGGCGCTATCCGCATATCCCATCCCATTGCCCGCCGCGCCGTCGTGCCTTGCTTGCTGATCGTTGTGCGCCTGCAATGCCATCCCAGCAGTGCCTTGCTCGCTACGTTAATACCGAGGGCTCGTAGATCAACCGCGTGGAAAACTGGAGCCAATCAGATTCCTTACGCACCCCGCCACCCCCAACTCTCAAGAACTCAATTTTTTTATTGTAAAATCTTTGGAATATTTTTTGTATTTAAAATTTTTGGTAATAAAACGCGAAGAAAAATGAAATGAGAGTTTAGACATTGCTAACACTCAATAATATTGGCATGATAAATATTTTTTGGCCGTAGTTTCATTGCAAGGATCAAAGGTCACACGTAGGTTGTTACAGAGCTCACCATCAATTTTATTTATGGTTTTCCTGGTCAGAATGGGCCCTTCCTTACTGCACTCTGATGACGATCACTCAATGGCTGTGACTGACGGACTCACAGACGGACACATATTGTTTCATTGAAACAAATATTTGGATGAGGATTTGGATTACTTAACCGCTTAAATGCCACGCATCTCAAAGCTCCCTACAAAACAGGAAAAAGTGGAAATGAAATAAGACAAACGAAGACAAGAAAACAAAGACACGTTTTAGAACAAAGAGTGAAGGAGAATAGACTTATGTAGATTAGTTGGTGGTTTAACTTTTATATTTAGTCAAGGAAGTACAACCGTTAGCAGAATTTGATAAAAACAGAACATCATTATATGCCATGGAGTAGTATTGTCATATTAGATTGCACACGGTTTAGTGATAACGTCATGCAGCTGAAATTTTGGAAGGCCCTAGAAAAGAGACATGCAGTTGCCGTGACGAGACGCGATGAAGGGTCGTACGATGATGCTGGTCACAATGGCTCCAAATCTGCGTGATCCACCCACGGCGCCTTCGAGTGACCGTATATTACGAACGGATACCCGTCGTAGCTGACGTCCCGCTCCCCCTCGCCCCCAGGTGTACTTCGTGAGCTCTGCCACGCGGAGCATTGAGAGGATGGACATCGACGGCAGTGCGAAGGAAGTGCTCGTGGCCTCCAACCCAAGCCTGCCGCTAGGCCTCGCCGTCGACTGGCTGCACAGGAAGATGTACTGGACCCTTCCCAGGTGTGCCCGCCTGCCCGCCCGCTCGCCCGCCCGCCCGCCCCCAAAATGTTATCACCTCCGATTGGCACGCTCGGCTATGTACGGTGCGAAAGAAGTTCAACGTACATACGTACGTGTCCGTGTCACGTCATGAGGTGCCACGTCCATTCGTACCTCTCGCAGAGCAGTGCATCGCCCCGTCATCTAGTAACGGCCCCAGTCGACCGCCACTCAGCGGGCGGTCGCTCCTTCTCCTCTGCTGGCCCCACTGTGTGGAACTCCGTCCCCCCCAGCCATGCGTGCTGGTCGACTCCCATCCCTCGTTCAAGTTAAAGTTCAAGCCCTTCCCTTTATCCTCCGCCTGTGTTTGACCGCCTCTCCCTGTCACACGAATATTGCCTGCTGTTTCCTGCCCACGGTGTAGAGAGATGCGTGCGCGTTCAGGCGCCGTGTAAATCCACGTCGTGTCATCCAGCAGCACTAACGCCGCGTCGTGCCGTTCTCCCACAGGGTTTTCCGAATCGAAATGAGCAACCTGGACGGCTCGGAGAGAAGGATATTTTTTTCGCAGGCCGGCGCGCGGCCCCGCGCTATAGTCGTGCACCCCACGGTTCGGTGAGTTCGGCGCTACGAGCTGGTCTCGTCGCTCCATCTCCACGGAGGTCGTCCTCTCGGGGCACATTGCCTCGCTCAGCCGCCGCAGCATCGTTTGTCTTGACCACGAGGCATCGTCCCAGCTGGTGACGTGTCCTCCCCAAGCCCACTCGCCTTTCATCATCGGTCAATGTGATGGGTCTATTTTCTCTATTCCATTTGCTCTTCTTTCTTGTCTCACAGTGTAATTTCAGGCAATGTATCTCTCCTGGCATCTTGGCACAATTTTCAGCTCCCATTCCAGATGAGCTAAAAAATTTATAAAGACTGAATGATGCACAACACATTTCAGGAGTCTATCTGCAGTTGGTGCTCGAACCCCAATGGGCCATCCTATTCATTCTCTCTTGCAGATAAAAAAAATATATATATTTTTCTTTTAACAGGTAAGGTCCACTGAGCTATATCTCTTTTTTTCAAAAGCGACTTGGCCACAAATGACATCCTAATGAAGTGGCTGATCACGTGGAAATACTCGAATGCATGATTCTTAATGTGGAGAGACCACGGGGAGACATTGCAAACTCCAAATATACAGCAGCAGGCGTCAGGGTCGGGATTGAACCCACAGCCTCCTGTATACCAGGCGAGGTAATTAACATCTCGCCACCGCAAGATGATGAGGGCTGGGCATTAGACGCTTAACAATTCACCCCTTCCACCGCCCTCCCCAGTTTGGGGTCAAGACGTGGTCTGAGAATTGATCTCACGTTGCAACGATCCATCTAGTTCTTGCACACGCGCCCATTTCACCGCTCCATCTCCACGGTGCACGTCGACTCGTGTGGTTGCTTCGTGTGGCGGTCTTAACAGAAATAATTTTTACGGAACCATAAACAAAAATGTTTCGCTTTTCTCGTGGAATTTCCAACCACTTTTTTCCACGCACTTTCTATGGATCATTAAAAAAAAACAGGTTTACGTGAACGGGGATTCTATACCCCCCCACCGTCAGCATCAGAATCAACTTCGAAGATCGAGTCTACGCATCGTGGCCTGGCGAATCTCGTGCCTGTCAACCCCTTACCAGCGCCTACCACATTACAGACCAATTCAGACCTTATTGGTCACGCCGTGCCCTTATAAATCTCAACGTTCATCCTACAAAGTCCCATCACAAGGGAGAAACACAAACAAAATAGACACAAAAAAACATTTTGCCCGTATTGAAACGGCTGTACGCCGTACGCTGCCCCGAAAACTCAATTTCCCTGTACATGAATACGGAGTAAACCGTACGGGTCGACAGCAATGGAATCTAAATATGCCCCCCTCCCCCCCTCCCCCACACGCCTTTCTCTTGCCAGGCGTGTTTTCTGGACGGAGGTGGGAGCCCGCCCGCGCGTGGCGAGCGCGGCGCTGGACGGCGACGCGGTGCGGGAGGTTGCGCGCGGCTTGCTGGCGGTGCCCGCCGGGTTGGCCGTCGACCGCTGCTCGTCGAGGCTCTTCTGGAGCGACCCGCGGCGTCGCGTCATCGAGGTGGCCGCGCTGGACGGGACGGCGCGCCGCACGCTCGCGCAGACCGGCGCCGAGGGTGAGCCGCCGTGCCGCACGCGTTGTTTCGTATGAGTCGTCGTCGTCCTCGTCGTCGTCACGAGCCGCGGTCGATGTCCTCTGCCACGCGCGAAAGGCCTCCCTAAGCTGCTGCTCGACATCTCTTGCGGTCCTGTGCACGAGCTGAGTTCACTGCACCATCTCCGTCCTCTCGGGCATGCCTATCGCTGCCGTTTCGTCGTTCGTCTTGGCCACCGGCCGTCATCGCATCCTGTCTAGCAGCTGCATTTGTTTCCACCGTGTAAATTACATTCCGTATTCGTAGCGCTTTGGCACAGTGGTTAGCACGCCGAGCTATGACCCGCGTGGTCAAACGTGGCAAAACTACGCCCGTGACTGACTAAAGAGTGGAAAGGCATTTGCCCCAGTGGCGTAGTAGCTACATCATCAGCTCAGGGGGTGCGGCAATTGGTCAGGTGGGGCCCCAATATTTGATTTGTCTCGCACCAAGGCTATACAGCAGCTCCTCTTGCCTAATCAACACCGTCACTATCACGCTCACGAACGTGTAACACCATAGGGGCGCTCCGTCTTCACAAAATGCAGCCACTTCTAAACGAAAGCATTTTCATTAAAATAAATTTAAACCGCATTTTAAAATTAGCTTTGTTCTTTTACACCCGTGGTGGTTGTCAAGGAGGCTCCCCCCCTCCAACTCGTAGCTTTGGCTGCCAGGGGGAGCGTAGCAAGGCACCCCCTGCCCCACGTCCCTGACGCGACCGGCTCACTCAAGCACATCGATAACGGGCGGTCTAATCTCTTGAAGAGCCACCCGCACTGCTGCTGACCACGATTGACCGTGACGATGATCGCGACGACGACGACCGTGACGACGGCGGCGGCCGTGACCTCGCGCTTGCGTCTGTGCGCGGGTGAGCAGCCGTGGACCAGCTGGCGGTCTACAGGGACAGCGTGTGGTTCACGACGCTGGCGCGGCGCACCGTCGTGCGACTCGACAAGCGCTCGGGCCGCCGCCTCGTGCACATGCAGGGGGACTCCATGCGGCCGTCGGCGATCGTCGCGGTGCCGCCCGTCCCCAAGTCCGGTGAGCGGCGTGCGGCGCGGCGAGCGGAGCGTGGGTGGCCAGCGCCACCGTTGGCACCGCCTGGACAGGTTTCGACCACCGCCTGTCGCGCGACAATCAACGCCGCGAGCGTGCGTCGGCATTTTCCGCGTCGGTGCCACCGGCGTCGTCACTCTTCGGGCGAGTGACGTTCCCTGCGGCGCGCGCCGCGTTTGTCTTGCGCCCCAAAGGGACGGTCAAGCGCTTCCTGGAGCTCTCCGGCGCGCAGACGGCCTGCGGCGGCCACGTCGGCGGCTCTCCTCCAGCGGCCAACGGATCGGCGCCGTCGCCGTCAACCCGCGGTGAGAAACGAGGCTCCCGCACGGAGGCGGGGGGGGGGGGCCCTCTCAGGCGGCGGCTGTGCCGTGAAATCGTGGGGCGCCAGCGGGTTAACGACTAAACGACTGCAAGTCCGCATAAAATATTGCGGGCCCGTGGCGCATTTGTAAAAACATTATTTTTATTTTTACCCAATTCCCCTTTGCCAGATGGTGCTGCTGCTGCTGTCGGTATTGCTCTGTCTGGATACAGCTGCTGTTCCTTTGTCTCCCTTACGGGCGCGTGAGATTGTGGTGGTGGTGGCGCGACTCCTCTCTGGAGAAACAAAACAAGGGGAAGAGATGTGACGGTTATTTTGCGTGATCTTGTCTCGTTCGATTTCCATGAACTTCAGGGCAATTTGAATCCATGAGCTTAATAATATTTTGACCTAAAACTTTCGTGACTGCAGGAATTCACATTTTTTGTTTCTTACGGTAAAGTCACGTAGATAGAAATAAATAAATAATATTGATAAAATTACTTTATAAAAAACAAAAACCACTAATGTAGACTGTAGCCTGGTTATTAAGTTTGGTGAGTGTACTGGCAGTCTATAATGTAGACTGTAGCCTGGTTTTTAAGCCTGGTGAGCGTATTGGCAGTCTATAATGTAGACTGTAGCAATGGTTTTTAACCTGAGTGAGCATACTGGCAGTAAAAAATATAAAACGTCGTGGTTTTAATATTTAAAAAAAAATTCATTAAAAATATATATATTTTAGAGAGCTTTCACAGCTCTGCACCGGTGAGTTCACAGCCTCACTTGCTGTGCTGCAATCCCCTGGGCCAACTTCAGCAGGTTTAGTAACTAACCTGATCCATCAACCTCGCTACCTCCAAAGTGCTGGCTCACAGGTGAGCGCTGCCTCTCAGCAATGCCAGCTCGGCTCTCTCTCCCTCACAAAGACAAAGATCCCCCGTGTAGCCTAAACAGACTGTTGGGGCAAGTGCTGTTAGCGAGTAGCGCCTATGCAGGCCGGCACGGTGCATACGAGGGGGTGGGTGGCCAACACCACGCCCGGCCACAGAGAAGGCCCATGATCGGTTCACATAATCATCACCGGTGTTGTTAGCCGTGAGCGGGAATCGAACTCCGGTGGCTGGGGTTCGTAGCGCAGGGCGCTAACCTCTACGCTACCGCCGGGCCGTTCTCAGGTGCCATCGTTCACTATCGAGGGGTTGTCTCTCCCGACGTGTGCGGTTAGCAGCCACCAACACCACGACCGTGTCCGACCGGGGCGGCGAGGCCTCGGTGTTCCCGCCGTCCCCCGTGCGAACGGAACCCGGCGCGGAGAACAACGGAACGGAGAACAACGGAACGGAGGTCGGCGAGGGGAGGGGTCTGGTGACCTCCGGCTGCAGGGCCTGCGTCCCTGACACCGCCAGGCGGGGTGGGTCCGACGGCTGGAACCGGACGGCGGAGCCCGGCTGCCGGGACTGCGGGAGTAAACCCCGGAGCCACTTCACCGACTGCCCTGAGCACCTTCGCCACTTCTGCCTCAACGGCGGCGACTGCTTACTCGTCGTGCAGCTCAACAAGCCCATGTGCAAGTGAGTTGAGTGGGAAGCGGTGTCCGGGGCCGCAGCACGAAGAGGCTCAAACCAAGGACACGCTGTGAAGGTGGCAGATACTCCCCTCCATCAGCCCTGGCATACCTTTATAAGGCCACGCCCACGAAACACGCCCACCGACCATAGGCTCCGCCCACCGATCATAGGCCCCGCCCACTGATCATAGGCCCCGCCCACCGATCATAGGCCACTCCCACTAATCATAGGCCCACCCATTGATCATAGGCCCCACCCACTGATCATAGGCCCCTCCCACTGATCATAGGCCCCGCCCACCGATCATAGGACCCGCCCACTGCTCACAGGCCCCGCCCACTGCTCACAGGCCCCGCCGACCGATCACAGGCCCCGCCGACCGATCACAGGCCCCGCCCACTGACCACAGGCCCTGCCCACTGATCATAGGCTCCGCCCATTAATCATAGGCCCCTCCCACTGATCACAGGCCCCGCCCACTGATCATAGGCCCCTCCCACTGATAATAGGCCCTGCCCACTGATCATAGGCCCCGCCCACTGATCATAGGCCCCGTCCACTGATCATAGGCCCCGCCCACCGATCATAGGCCCCTCCCACTGATCATAGGCCCCTCCCACTGCTCATAAGCCCCTCCCACGGATCACAGGCCCCGCCCACCGATCATAGGACCCGCCCACTGCTCACAGGCCCCGCCCACCGATCATAGGCCCCTCCCACTGCTCACAGGTCCCGCCCACCGATCACAGGCCCCGCCCACAGATCACAGGCCCCTCCCACTGCTCATAGGCCCCTCCCACTGCTCATAGCCCCCCCCCCCCGTCCCCCCCGTCCCACTAAACAGCGCCCGCCACTTTTGATCTGAATGATTTAGACGGGGGACAAAATCCAGATTTTTTTTTCGTTGTTCTTGCAAGTGTGCGTGTGGATGTATCTACGTTGACCTTCTTTCGCAACCGTACGTAGCCAACCGTGCTAATCGGAGGTGTGCGGGGAAGAACAACAAACTAAACACAAAAAGGCAGTTCTAAAGAAATGAGTTTTCAATCTAGATTATTTAAACGTGCATAAGGTCTCCCCAGTGGCTGCCTTAAATCGGAAGGCAGAGCGTTCCAGACGGACGCAGAAGCGCGCGACGAGGTGACCGTCTTTGTTCGATGGCCAGCCGAAAGCCGCTGCTGCTGCGATGATCGGAGTTCGCGTGGCGATGGTTCATGCTCCCTGGCGAGATGCTTCAGGGACAACCTTCCTGGAACCCATACTGCTCCGGCCAAAAAAAAAACAACCATGACGTTTGCTAGCTTTTGTCAAAACCGCACCCGATGTTGAGTAGGCGCAATGACGCACTCACTCCTAATATAGCGGCTTTGCGGTGGGGTGAGTGAATCATGTTGCTGCTGTGACCTCCTGGTTACTCACACCTGCAGGGCATAGGAAGAGCTAACCGTCAAGCTCTGAAACCTGATTGCTATCCTGCCCCCCTATAGGCATCTTGTTGCTGTGCAGGGTTTGTTTTTGTGTACAGGAAGCGGTTAGCGCACTGCGCTACGAACCCGGCGACCCGGGGTTGATTCCCACTCACGGCCACCACCAGTGACCGGTCCTGGACCTCCCCTAGGTCGAATCAACCTGAAATGAGTACCTGGTGCAGTGTACAAAACATCGCCGCTCGGGAGACAAAGGCGGCCGGGCGTGGTGTTTGGCACCCCCCCCCCCTCGTGTGCCGTGCCGGCCTTCATAGGTGCTACTCGCTAACAGCACTTGCCCCTACAGTCTGTTAAGGCTACACGGGGGATCTTTGTTGCTGTTGATACTTGTGTGTGTGTGTGCCACCCACATGATGGCGCTATCTACCGGGTAACACATCAGACCGCTTGTCTCGAGGTTCATGGTGTACGTGTAGAAGCCAACCGTGCTAATCGGAGGGGCGGGGGAAGGACAACAAACTGAACAAAAAGCAGTTCCAACGAAATTCGTTTTCAATCTGGATGATTTAAAAGTGCACAGCTCTCAGTCACTTCCTAATAATCGGACGGGAGGAACGTTCCAGACGGCCGCAGAAGCGCATCTGAAAGCGCCGCGCGATGCGGCGACCACCGCCTTTGTTCGACGGATCGCAGCCAAAAGCTGCTGCTGCTACTGCTGCTGCTGCTGCCGCTGCTGCTACTGCTGCTGCTGCTACTGCTGCTGCTACTGCTGCTACTGCTGCTGCTGCTACTGCTGCTACTGCTGCTACTGCTGCTACTGCTGCTGCTACTGCTGCTGCTGCGAGGATGAGCGGAGTTGGCGTGATGATGGTTTATGCTCGTTGACGAGATCAGGGCAGGTACTGCGGTTCGTTTGTGGCAAGCGCTTTGTGTGCAATGAGTGAGATGATGAGCGCGTTCCTCTAATTAGCACAGTTGATTACGTGCTGTGCGAATGAAGTTCAACATTCATGCACACTTACGTTCCCGTGAACACCTCCGATTATGACGGTTGCAGTGCCGGATTAAGCTAGTGCGGGGCCTGTAGCATATGTTATTAAGGGGCCCTGAATAAAATAAAAACACGTAAATATTAAAACACACATTTTTAACTTGCATAGTAAAGTAATTGTGTATTTTTTTATTTGCTATACAGCCAGATAATACGACAAATCGTTAATCTTAAACACCCAGTCGTTCATAAAAGTTTAAGGCAGTATCGTACTATAGTAATAGAGCAAGTGCAGAATCACTGAACCGGAATTTATAGCTTGAAAGCGTTTAGCGCAAGGGCCCTTTAAAGTGCCCGTAGAATATGATACTTGTGCTACTACGATAATCCGGCACTGCACAGTTGGCTACGTACGGTGCGAAAGAAGTTTAAATGCATACACACATACGTTCCCGTGAACACCTCCGATTAGCACGGTCGGCTACGTACGGTGCGAAAGAACTTCAACACGCAACAACAATCGCCATTCACCACTAAGTGGCAGTGACATCACCACGGCGCCTGTGCCAGGCTAGGTGCACTTTAAGGGCACGTGAAGTGTCGAACGCCCGCCGGCAGGAGGTCACGGAACGGACCCAGGTGCCATGGGTTGAGCGACTAAAATTACCCACCTGTGCCCCCTACTATGCCAACATACGTACACGCACACGCGCGCGCGTACAATAAAAGCCGTGCCCCTCCCGCCGTCGCTAACGCTGCCCTCTCCCGCCGCCCGTGTGTTTGGCGGCGCCGCGCTCCGCTCAGGTGCGTGGCGGGGTTTGGGGGCGAGCGGTGCTCCTCCTTCAACATCGAGAGCTACGACGCGCAGGGCGCCGGCGATCGCCAGTGGCTGGCCACGTCCCTGGCCGCCGTCGGACTCGCGCTCCTGGTGGCCGCCGTCGCGGCCTGCGTCCTCTGCATCTGCAGGTGGGGAGGGGGGGGTTGGAGTGGCTGGCGTGGGGGGCCCTGCCTGCGGGAGTTGAAGCGGCGGCCTCAACCAAACCCACTCAGTCTCTCTCGCTTGTCCCCTAACTGAACAAAATTTTAAACCAGGTAAGGGCCCACTGAACTTCAGAGCTCTTTTACAGAAGCCACAATTGGTTGCCCAACGAAGTGGCTTATCACGTGGATATTTATGGGAGATAAATTTTGTAATCGCATTTTGTTGCCAGAAAAAAGGGGAAAACCTATTATCACTGTAACCGCATGTTTCTAAATGCGGAGGAGGGGAAAAAACGGAGGACCTGGACAAAAATCCACGTGACCACGAGACATGCAAACTCCAAAGATACAGGAGTCAGGGTCGGGATCGAGCCCACAACCTCCTGCATACCGGGCAAGGGAGTTAACATCTCCTAGCCACCGAGGCACCCCTAACTCGCCGTGTCCTACCACAGTCCCCTCACATCGCGTCTTTGGGTGCCGATGGCGCTCTTAACACAAGCGCGTGTCCGCAACGACGTCGTCCGAAACATGTGCAACGGAGCATGGAGGAGGTGCACGCTGAGAATTACATAGAGACGGAGCGAGTGAATGGGAGAAAGCACGCAATGTATAGACAAAAAGAAAGTTTTTACACCATTGGAACCTCATTTGCCAGTAAAAAATATGATAATTGGTTTTTTACCCTTCTATCTGGCAACAAAACTGACACCTTTTTTTACAAGGAGTCATGTTTACATAGACCACAATACCTGCAGTCATAATGCAAACAAAAAACATAACTCTGATAATGTGCAGCTTTCCTTAAAGAAAGCTGGCTCGGGTGTGGACCAATCAACTTCAAGGACAGTGCACATTATCAGAGTTATGTTTTTTGTTTGCATTATGACTGCAGGTATTGTGGTCTAGGCAAACATGACTCCTTGTAAAAAAGGTGTCAGTTCTGTTGCCAGATAGAAGGGTAAAAAAAACAATTATCAAAAAGAAAGTTGGTCGCTACGAGAGACGATAGACGGCGGTTTGAGATTCACTTCGGAGTGCCCTCCTAAAAGGAGGCAACATGCCCGACACGAACGTCGACCGCCGGAGATAGAGCTTCCATATCAGCTCGTATGCAGGCGCTAGATGGGTTGGTACGTTGCAAGAAGGTGACGGATGAAGGCCTTGGGGGAGTCCGTCATCGAGCAGTGAAAAGATGCTGGATAATCATGAGCAGCCAACAGGCACACTGCTCGCTCAATGGAATGTGTCGCTCGGTGCGTATTCATTTTGAACGCCGGTCGTATATTTTGCTATAGAAATATCATTGCGCATGCCCACAGGCACATGTTCATATCAGAGCTTGAAAATGCATGTCAAATTTCACGCTTAAAGTTTTCCCCCCTCCGCCAAAGAATGAATTTCTCCCCCGCAGACTTCCAGACCAAAGCTCATACACATGCACTCACATACAAAGACAAAGACACCCTGTATAGCCTTAACATACTGTAGGGGCAAGTGCTGTTAGCGAGCACCTATGAAGGCCAGAACGGTACACGAGGGGGTGGGTGGCCAGCACCACGCCCGACCGCCTTTGTCTCCCTAGTGGCAATGTTTACACACCGCACCAGGTACTCAATTGAGGCTGAGTCGACCTAGGGGAGGCCCGGGACTGGTTCAGATAATCGTCACTGATGTTGGCAGTGAGCGGGAATCGAACCCGTGTCGCCGGGTTCATAGCGCAGCGCGCTAACCGCTACACTATCGCTCCCCACACACTCACATACATACACACACACACACGTTCATATTTTCACTTACAAAAACACACAGATATGCTCATTTTTACACACATGCATACCCATGCACACATAACGAGGGATGCCCTTGCTGGTTTTATTGCATGACACATTTTTTTTCACTGTATCACCTCCCCACACATGGCCACACCATGAATGCAACAGATCACTCAATTTCATCCACTTAATCCTCCCACTTTGAATAACACCCTACTTTATGGACAATTTTGTGGACAATTATGTTTTGTGACTTACGACGTTTTTTTTTTCCAGGACACAACTTCTATACACACTCATATTCACATACATACCTACACACATACAAGTGCATTTTAAAGAAAATTAGTTTTTCCACGTGTCAGTCTGGCAGCCGCGGCACTCCGTAGTGCTTTCTGAATTAATTTCGTCCTTGAGACACATTGATATTCACGTCTTAACGGTAAATCGTTTGCCGCAACCCGCGCGAACATATTGCCATTCGAATTCACAATCTTTTTTACCGGCGCGAAGACAAGCCGTTACTTTTGCGTTTCCCGAAACGTTAACCAACGAACCTTTTTTTAAAATATAATTCGCGAAATGCAACAATTGCGATGGCCGTTGGGTGCTTTTTTATGCAAAGAAATTGAGCCGCCCACTTACCCACCAAGCCTCGCCTTTCAAATGTCATAAAATTTCCCCCATCCCCACCCCAAACAAAACATTGTGTGTATTTAAGGAAATGGAGGGAGAGGACGGGACACTTAGCCCTGTGGAATATTAAACAGCTTCTCGGGAAGGCAGATGGCAAGCCTGCCACAACCGATACAACGGTGAGTCGACTGATCTAGTCAACAAAAATAAAAACCACACCTTCTCGGTCCCGTAGCATCTGGCATCTCGGGGGAATGGGGTGTGGGGGATAACGTGGCCCTCCTTCTAAATTCTTTAAGTCGAGTCATCGAATGTATCGTGGCCCCATCATGCCCTGCGTTTTGCGCTGCCACCCCCTGATAACTTTTTGACGAAGTCACATTCCAGGGTTGCTGCTACAACTACCTTCTGAAATGTCATTGACTTTGTGTACAAGTCTGTTCTCCTACAACGCGGTAGTGGTTGCGTTCCCTAAGGACAACCACGTTATGGAAAAAAAAATCGTTATAATAATTAATATATAATATAGGAGTAAAGCATGGGTCCGTAATAACACGTGAGATGCGTATGCAGGATGAACAAAGACTGAGTTGCGTGGGTAGCATCTGAAAGCATCCAGCAGCATCCCGCCTCGTGCGATGCTACGCCGAGGCAGCCGTACGCCCGCTTATTCCTACTCGCGCCTACGTAGTTCTGTCCGCTCAACCGCGCTATATCCAATTCGCATCCACGGAATAGAAAAATGTGTTCCCTAATACATGAATCACGTAAAGACACGTGTTCGAGGAGAACAGACTGTACCGTGTGCTTTTATGGTGAGGACAGAATGCAAACGGGCGGAGAGATCCCTACATCTTCTCCGATAATCGAGTGCGCGCGTTATTGGCAGTGAGCACAACGGAGCGTGTTTATTATTCTTTTCTGCTCCCTGCGACGGCGATGGCACGTCCCAAGTTGCTGCAGCCGATACCGTAAACAGTTAAAAATAACTCAATTTTATTTTTTCTTCTAAAATGTCACCCTTCACAGCCCTCTCCGGCAGCAGCAGCCGCCGCCGAATTGAGTTTGAAAGGCGCCGAAGTGATTTGCAGTTGACGAGAAAAAGAGTGTGGGCCATTGTTGATCTACCGCGAGGTGAGTTGAAACGTACGACGTTTTTTTTGAGCGGCCACAAAAAAGTGATTGCGCCGGTGTGTGTGTGTCGTTATAGTTTTTTTACATATAAAAAAAAATGCTGCATGAGATATTTTTTTTCAGTTTGATGAGAAATGTCTTTTTTTTTTGCAGCCAAACCGAATTTCTACTGATTTTACAGTCGATTAAAAGTCACCGGTGGAGTCTTGATCATGAATAATGAAGGAACCGGATGCTGGGATTGTTCTGCAAACAATGAGCTGTTACACAGAGACAACTGGACGCTGGAAATCTTGTACTCTCCACGAATTATTGTACTTTCCGCGATGGGATTGTACAGACTCACGCTGGGCGCGCAGTAGAACACCAACGCTATAACGGAAGCATCCAAGAGAAGATGGACATTTCAAGTGTAACCTCAACTAACCTATGTTTTGTTTACCAGGTAAGGCCCACTGAGCTATGTAGCTCTTTTTCAGAAGCGACCTGACCGCTAATGATGGCTCAACGAAGTGGCTTATCATCAAGTGGACATTTATCGCAGCCAAATACTCTAAAATGTGGAGGGGGAAAAACCGGAGGACCGGGAGAGAAATGCACGTGACTACGAAGAGAGAGAGAGAGAGAGAGACACGCAAACTCCAAATATCTCCAGCAGGCGTCATGATCGGGATGAAACCCACGAGCTCCTCCACACCAGGACAGGTAGTTCGCATCTTGGCTCTGCAGTGCCGCTGCCACTAGAACGGGGTGGTACGTTCCCAAGCCTACCAAACCCACACGTGGCTCCTCGTGGCGGTAGGCAAGGAGGCATCGTGGGTGATGTTGGGATCAGTTCGTTTTTCCCACCGGGTGTCATTTTCCCACGTTGTGGCCAGGATTGTTTTTTTTTATCATATTTAAAATATTAAACTTTTACCTCGTGGATGTGACAATGCAATGCTTGCGGAAGTCAGACAACCCGTAAAATCATTATCGGTGAGACGACGGCGACGTCCGGGAGAATAAAACACTTTGCGCGGCTGGTGTTCTACGCAAATGCACTTCGTGGGTACTTGTACACTCGTAAGCAAGTTGTACTTTTGAGTTTCGGCGTCATTTTTAGCGCTGGGGAAAATTCTAACGCTACGTGTTTATAGAATGTTTTTCTTTTTAAAAGAAAAACCCAACCGTGTTCATAGCAACTTAAAGCTGATACAGGCTACGGTGTACGGTGACACAACAGGCTGGCTTCTGTTGATGTTGATGATGTACAAATGAATGAATGGAGCGCAGTGCAACGCTGCGTCTGGGAACCATGGCAGCTGTTGTCGTGCACTGAGCGTTCCACCGAAACCAAACAGCGCGAGTCTCTAGACACCCGATCGCCCCCCCCCCCTCGCAGCTGCAACACACACACACACGCGTAAAGAGGTCAAGAATTACTACTGAACAATGTCAAAACAAATATAACAGAATGCTGTTATGTGTCTCCACCGAACAAGCAAGGTCGTCGTTTAGCCAACGGTCTTTTCGGGAATCCCAGACCAACGCTATCCAGCAGAAACAGCAGCATAATTTTCTTATACAAGCAACCCCCTGTCGTGTTTGCAAACTATGAGTATTGTTCAAAGCAAGCAAACTGGCGTTTGAAAAAATCACACGAATGCCGTTGCTGGATTCATATCGGTCTGGAAAGTCGACAGGCCGATGGACTGCGTTGTTTCTGAGTGGATGCACAGAATGGTTCGCGTGTTTATATTTGCGTGTTTTGCTAGGGTTGTTGTTAAGTAGTGGTCACATAAACAAGAATGGTATCTATATAAAAAAACACCCGGTCACCGGCTTGCCACGCGTTGAGAATTGTCGCAGTGGCGTAGAAGCTACATTCTCAGCTCACTGGGGTGCAGCGAATTGGTCAAATGGGGCCTCAATCCTTTGAGTTGTCTCATGTTGGTCATCAAGGGGGGCTCCAACTCGTAGCTTTGGGGGGCAAGGCAGCCCCCCCCCTACCTTGCCCCCACGCTCGTTCCGCTACTGGATGAATGTGCACGTCAGTCGACGCGTTGTGATCCTGGTAAGGGGACCGCTACTCGTCATTGTTCCGTGAGCGCCAGCGCAAGACGCGTGCAGGGCAGGCGATGGCACGGCAGGAATGCCTCTCCGAGTTGATTCCCAGACTGTCTCTTCCCCCCTAAGCACAGAAGCCCTCGTCCCCACCCCTCTCACCTCCTTTTCCGCCAATCTGTATCTTTTTGCGTATTTCCCCACCAAATCCCAGTCCCCTCTTTCGTATGCATGCGCGTATGTACGTTGCACTTCTTTCGCGCCGTACGTAGTCAACCGCGCTAATCGGAGGTGCGGCGGGGTAGGGGGGGGATAACAACGTAAACACAAAAAATAAGTTCTAAAGAAATGAGTTTTCAATCTACATGATGACTAAAAAGTGCATAACCAACCCCCCCCCCCCCCCCCGTGGCTTCCTAATATCGGAAGGAAGAGCGTTCCAAACGCTCCGCAGAAGCGCATCTGAAAGCGCGCGATGCCAGTGGCCGTTTTTGTTCGACGTTTCGCCAAAAGCCGCCGCCCCTGCCGCTGCTGCGGGTGTATTGAGGTGTAACCGCAATCAATCGGCAGGAAGCGTGCGGCGAGGGTAAAACGTGGCTACGCTCACCTCTCCCAATATCCCTTCAGCCAGGAAGGGTAGTCCAAATGCCCGTGCCCTCTTAGAGCTTCCTCCGGTGGAGAGCCTTCCACCAGCGGTGGGCGTGAGCAGGCTATTTCAGGGCTGCACCTTGTAATCGTTTAACCGAGAAGCGAGAGGGCCACGTGGTAATTCAGGCCTAGCCGCCGGGCCCTATAAAAGGTGGCCACCGGGTTTGAACGACTCGACTGCAATTGATTGTTGATGCCTGAGTTTTTCGGAAACGGTAAATCGATGCTGAAAACGATGACCACTTTAGCGATTGTCATTCAACAACCATAGTTATCACCCACAACATGTGCCACGACTACGCTTAATGTTAAACCGTCAATTCGTTTCCCTTGTTTGCTCACCTAAAGGGTTAAAATGCGATAGTGGCATCGATAATTTGTCGCTGAGATGATTCGCATGTGAAGGTTGTTGTTGTGTTTACCAAATGTCCTTTCGGGTCGAGTGATGGCACAGGTGTAAGCACAATGCACTGTGAACCTGGTGACCTGAGTTCGATTGCTTGGCGAGTGATATCAGAGCCATTCCTGGGCCCCTTCACCAACGCGCACTGACCAGCGTGGTGAAGTATGGCCATACAACCCCCATGACCAACAGGGGGTAGGGGGAAGGGCCTTCATCCAGCAGTAGACGTATACGGCTGTAAATTATTCTTGTTATTGTGATTACAGTCTTTTCACTGGAATAAAAAAATAAAGTATTTTTTACTAAAAACGTACAATTTGTGTTGTGAATTGTGGCTCTATGTTTATTGACAGGATCATTGCACCAAAGCATCATGGGGAAACTTGACAAGGTTACATTCTTTCGTGAGTTTATTACATTAAAATTAACAGGTTTAATTAATAACATCAAGGTCAAGAGGAACTTTAATTGCTTATCGTGTTTCAATCGTTAATCGCTACGGTAATGACAAAGCGGTGTGTGTAGAAGAAGCTGGGCTGAGAAAAAATGAAAGAATCTTGCAACGCGTCGACGGAGTAGATTTGATGATTCCATCGTTCGAGACCAGCTGGTAAGCTTCAAGAGGGTCGAGTTGATATTTACAAGGTGTTGATGCGCGGGCATTGATTACACTGGTCAAAAAAACACTTTTTTCTGGCCCGGACTTTTGCAGCTGTTTTAGGCTAATTTCAGGGTGCTGATTCCAAATCTGATCTCAGATTTGCTCTATCACGTCTCATTTTATGCTATCGGCATACCCCATTTTCATTGATTTTACCCGAAATTAACTCTGTCACTTATGATTGCAAGTTGTTGCGAGTGAGTGACTGCTTTAGTGTTCAAATATGGTGCTGTATTTTTAGGATAGTGTGTTTATAATATCATTTTATGTAGATATCCACATCTATTTCATATTTTTCTTCTGCAATTTTTATTGAAAATGCCGTATCTGGCAAAAAAACTGACACCTTTTTTACAAGGTGTCATGTTTGCATAGACCACAATACCTGCAGTCGGAATGAAAACAAAAAACACAACTCTGATAATGTATGCACTGTCCTTGAAGTTGATTGGTCCACACCCGAGACAGCTTTCCTTAGAGTCTAGTCTCACATGGTGTTGGACCAGATGACGCCAAAAGGCGCACAACTCAAAGACAATGCACCATCAGAATATGAGAGCTCGGGGTAAGCATTTACACCATTGGAACCTCATTTGCCAGTAGAAAAATATGATAATTGTTTTTTTTTTTACCCTTAAAAAAAACAATTATCATATTTTTCTACTGGCAAATGAGGTTCCAATGGTGTAGTGTCACTGTTGAACTATGACCCTCTACCACCCGATAGAGCCAATAACATTCCGCATCCACGATGCTCTAACCCAGTGGTTTTTCTTCATCACCTGGGGATGCACGCTGCACCCCCTGGGAGTGCGAGACATGGCCAGATCTTTTTTTAAATCCTTATATTAAGTTCACTTGCTTGCTTGCTTGCGCGCTTACGACCGTGCAAGTCTTTCGGTCGTTTTTTAACCCACTTCCCGTGATCCAATCGAGCTGACATTTTGCACACAGACTCGTTGTGCGTGACAATTAATTTTCGTGAATTTTTTTTCCAAAATGTTTACACTTTTTAGGAAAAAAATAAATATTTAATTAGCGATTGCTTAATGGTGGCAGGTAATCATCTGACCCATAGGTGGCAGCCATCTCAAGCCAGAGGACGAGAGGACTCTAGCCGCCACGCATATAAAAGATTTATAGTGAAAAACTTTGTTTTTACGGGTTAATTTTTTTGAAGTTAAATCATCCAAACGCAAATTAAGCACGGACACGTCAGTACGACTACTTACTTTCATCAAAGCCCTGTGTATTTATCAATATTGTTAAATGTTTTACGATTGAGAACCAAAGGGGTGCAAGGCTGCAGTAAAGGTTAGGCGCCGCTCCTCTAATCCATGATAAACTAATTAGGAATTGTAGTATTGGTCATGAATGCTTGCGTCTAAAATTGCGCAAAAATTTCTAGTTAGGAAGTCCAGCTCCAAACGGTGTAAAGAATCCAAATGAGATGGTACACACACACACAATGAGATGGTACACACATACACACAATGAGATGGTACACACACACACAATGAGATGGTACACACACACACACACAATGAAATCGTACACACACACACGATGAGATGGTACACACACACACACAATGAGATGATACACACACACACACAATGAGATGGTACGCACACACATAATGAGATGGTACACACACACACAATGAGATGGTACACACACACATAATGAGATGGTACACACACACACAATGAGATGGTACACACACACAATGAGCTGGTACACACACACAACGAGCAAATTATTTAATGACCGCGTGCATCGTTCATTGATCCCTTAATGATGGTGCGATTGGGAGACGAAACTTGTGTCGTTTTGAAACACATGCACAACGGCTCGCCAAGGTTGCTTACATTCCCTCCGCTCAGATGTGCATCGGGTGACAGTGCACACAGACTGTTGGGGCAAGTGCTGTTAGCAAGTGCTGTTAGCGAGCACCTACTACGGCTGGCAAGGTGCATGCAGGGGCGGTGTGTGCACAGCAACACGCTGTCTCCCCAATGCTGATATGTACACACTACAACCAGGTAGCATTTGAGGCCGAGTCGACATAGGGGAGGCCCAGAACCGGTTCTGATATCGCTATTCATGGCCCAGGGAATTTGACTCGGGTTGCGAGAGGTGTGAATCACTACAAGACGACGAAATAAGGCTGCGAAAGTGTCGTCTAAAATGCTCACAGCGCGTGCGGGTGGCAGCCTCCCACGTGATATTTGTTGATTCTTTGGAAACGTTCGAAAACATAAGAAATAATTTTCAAGAATATAATAACAAAAAAATATATATCACTAGATTTGTTGCACGGATGAAAACCAACATGCTAAATCACGTTGTCGAAGATCAAAAATGTAGCAAGAATCAAACCGTGCAAGCGACAAATTTCGCGCCGTCAGAGTCATCCCCTCCTCGTACGCGTGGCGTTTTCCTCCGAGCGTTTCCTCCCGCCAGGCCAGCACCCAGCGATGCGATGGTCTGTGAACATCCCTGGCGGAGGGCTCTCTTGAAAACTGGGGGGTCTGGAGACCGAGAGAGGCTTGGGGTGGGGGGGAGTAATTAATGGGCATGAGATTATCGATGCGAGGGGAGCCCTACACGTTGGAAGCATGCGGAGCGGCGGGAGATAGACGCAATCTGCCGTGACGTGACCACGAGGGCGGCGGGATGTAATTTGGCCACGGTCGCTGGCTTCTCGTTTCGCCGAAGGCTTAAATGTCTCCACACACAGTGTGGCGTGGCATTTTAAAGCGGACACCGCTCTACGCATTTTTCTATATTTACATGCAGATCGTGGACAATTGCCCGTAGAATAGCAGCACTCCAAATGTCAAGTGCAGTGATTAAATATTTATTTTTAAAAACTACTTTCATGCAGCCACCTGTTCGAATGCATAATTTCAATCTGTAATGTGTAATATTAAATATTTCATCATTTACAGCCATTTGCCAATTTCGCTGCCTAAACGAAGGCGTCTCCCCCGTGCCTCGCCGTTGGACATGGGGGGTTTGTTTGACCATACTTCACCACGCTGGTCAGTGTGGTGTTGGTTAATGGGCCAGGGCTCAGAGCCGGTTTAGATATCACTCGCCACTGACGTTAGCCGTCGCCAGGAAAAGTAAAAAAGACGAAACCCAATGTGTAATATTAAAAAAAATGCTATTTTTTATTCTTTGGTTCTTTCGGTAAAGTCACGTATAAAGATAAAATAATAAATTAAATTAAATACTAGCATACGACGTTTCGATTGCAACACAAGAAATCATCATCAGGTATAAATTAAATAGGAACACAAATCTAGTATACTTAGAAATGTAATGTAATACAACAGAGAGTCGGATAACATAACAGTCAACAACCTATCTGCTTGATTACGTTCTTCCTGGGAATGCTAAATTTAAGAGAGAGATTGAACACAGAACCAGAGACATAGACAGACATACTTTAGGTAAGGCCCAGTGAGCTATATAGCTCTTTTTCAGAAGCGACCTGGCCACCAAAGGATAGCACAACGAAGTAGCTTATCGCGTGGACATTTAAAGCAGCCAAAAAAAACTATCTTAAATGTAACGTTGATTCTAAATGTGGATGGTAAAAACCAAAGAACCCGGATAAAAATCCACACGACCACGGGGAGAGAGAGAACACGCAAACAGGCGTCTGGGTCGGGATCAAACCCACGATGTCCTGTATGCCGAGCGAGGTAGTTAACATCTCGCCACCGCGGCGCCCGTATATCGGCAGCTCTCACAAAATAACGTCTTCATATTGACACGATGACGCATTTTCTCAATGCAGCGGGGGGGAGAGGGGGGGCGCTGACGATTGTCGCAAGGCACTTTGACAAAGCAGATGACGTAATGTCTGCGTACCCACTTGACGGGCGCGCAAAGTAGAAGCGATAAAGCATTGACGGGCTGTGGGCCAACATCTGTTAAGGACGTGCACATTGCTCCTACAGTTCTTGTTTAAAGGGGGAGGGGGTGGGTTGGGGGAAAGCGGGAGAGGGCATTACACAGTCAATGTTAGACACAATTTAAACAATAATTACTCGTCTTTTTGGTTCTTTCGGTAAAGTCACGTAGAAGGGAAATAATAAAATAATAAAAATAAACCAATAAAATAATTCTCACCACGTTTCGGCCACAACGCAAGCAGCCATCCTCAGGTGAAGACCAGGGCTGTCGGGGAGACAGCGTCTGAATGAAACTCCACCACGCTTGCAGCGTCTATTTAAGCTGCGTTGACAAAATAATTTGCATATCAATAGGAATTTAGCATATTTATGGGAAATGCAGATGTGTGATTACTCGCTAGCGATGTGATCCCCGTTCGTCTATCTCGCACTCTGCTCTCTCCCTCCCACCCACCACCACCACCACCCCGTGTATTTGAGGAAACACCACTGGCTCTTAAATATTGTAAAACATTAACACTAACATATTTTTCTACGCGGATAATCCCTCGAGATGGAATGTCTCACTCGCAAGGGTTGTCCAGCGTGCCAAAGTGACGCTTCCACAGCAAGAATTGTAGCAAGGCGTTTTCGACTTGACAATGAGAATGTATCTTCTTGGTTCTTTCGGTAAAGTCACGTAGAATGGAAATAATAAAATAATAAAAATAAAACACAATAAAATTA